AGACCAATCGAACCACAATCGCTGTCCTGACGTTCTAGCAAGCCCGAAGTCGGTGTAATGGTAAAGCATTCGGTGGTCGTTGTCCGCATCGAATCAAAAGTTGAATTTGTGTTCAAAACTGTGGAAAAGAGGAGGAGAAGTGGATGCACATTCTCGAGTGATGATCAGCTGTCAACGTTTTGTATGCTTTGGGATATATGTGTATTGGTTACAGTATTGGTATGAAATAAAATCCAATTACTTTCTCTATGACAAAAATCATATGAAACGGTTATTCTCAGAAAAAAAAACAGTTCTGTGTTTAATTAAAATCAAAGGTATTATTAGAAAACTGGAGAAAAACAAACCATGTCTCGTTAAAAATCAACAGGGTTAAATCAATTTTGTGGGATCTTTGTCCCCCATCCCCACCAAACTACTGATCACAAATTCTCTCAACGACAATTAACAGTTGGCATTCTCTTGTCAAACAAATGTTGCGTTTTGAGCTTCTGAATACATTTGGCATAATCCTAGTAGTGTGCCGAACGAGATTGATCAGTAGTCAAAACTATCGCAGCAATGGATTGTGCTACGCCATGTGGTAGGTAGCTCTGCTGTCGTCCGGTTCAATACTACCCTTTACCTATCGGGGCTCTATGTGGTTCGCCACTCCAAGTCCCGGAGCCCAGGTTGCCGGTTACCATCACTGAACAGCAGGTCCTCGTGACTATGGGGTTCGCCCCGTTTGCTGTTCAACATTCTTAGGTGTGTAATAAAAAAACGTTTGAACAATCAATAACCATGCACCTTCTTGCGCCGGTTTTGTTTGCTGTCTTTTGGCGGCCCATTTGGATGAAGAATAGGCGAAAGACAGGAAGGTTGAAAGTAGGGTCGAACAGAAAATGAAGAAGTTCAGTGGACCAATGTTGCAAAGAAATTGAGAAGATGCACTAACGGTACTATTGACGACACTCAGCCATATCACTCAATGTCTCTAACCATCGGTTACGATCAATAACAATAAATAAGAAAGCCTTTTATAGTCACAGACAAATTTGAATGTTAATAATTTACATTGACTTATTTAGTTGTTATGGTCCTAATGTACCGACCTTTTGTTTGATTAGTTCAAGATGATAAACGTTTTGTTTGTGAGTAACCGTGAGCTGGGTGGACCATAACTGAAATAGCACTGGACATCAATTTCGCATGCGCTCACATCGAATCATCGTGGCTCTTGGACGGCTCTTATTCAGAATGCGGTGAAAACATTCATAAATGAAGAGTTTAATTTGCGCCCATCAGCAGAGAAGGAAGACCCTTTCGCTGAGCGCATCGTGTTGTCTGCTGTCTGTTGCACAAGGTAAATTGCATTCAAATGAGTGTGTGCACCCAAAAAGTTAAGAATTCGCTCACTTTGCTGCCTCAATTTCTTTGCAGCCATAGTTTACTGGAGTTCTCAATTTTCTCTTCGACTCTACCTTCAACTTTCCTGTTCTTATTCTATTATTCATCTAAAGACAGCAACCAAAACCGGCGCACGAAAGTGCATGGTTAATGGTTGTTCAAACTGAACTGAACTGATGTGCATGCTGATGATTGCAGCGAAGAGTGTGCGTCATGATTAGACCAGTGGCGGAAGTTGGCAATACACACGCATTGTTTGTGAACAGTGTTTGTTGATTGTGGAGCAGCTGGCTGTCAATGTGAACGGTAAAATGTGGTCTGGAGCTCCGCTAAGAATTGCCCCGTTCACTTATTCCGGGCCCTCTATAAGCAAACTAACAATAACTTATACCACGAATCACTAATTAGACGAGCGGTTGGGTTTAGATCCAAGACCAGTGTTTTGCATGGAACTGGCTAATACTGCTCAGCTATCACGAAATTCTCTATCCCAAGCATATTACAGGAAAGACCACATTCATACCTGAATCACAACCACGAACCTCCGGGGCGTAACTCATATGATACTCATCGAACCACTCGAAAGACAACGTGACAAAACGTACTATATCTGAACAGAATAATCTTGCTTAAAACTTATTCGTGAGCTGGAATCAAACATAGTGAGACAAAAATCGATTTAGACAGATGATTGTAAACTAGCGTCCAGAGGTCTTCTCGAAATATCACGTGGGAAATTCGGCGTGTGTCTGTGTGTGGCGTGTTAATTGAATGGAATAAGAAAGTATGGAAAATAATCAATCAGAATAATGTTAAATGAAACTGTCACAGCAAGCACAGGTTAAAACCGTCGACTTCGAGCTTCTTTTTTTTCTGAAATACGGTATTTTTCAAGGTGCAATTGTGTGGATGAGTGAATTTTTCGAAAAACTGCTCACTGTATCGTACGAAACCTAAAGAAGGAAAAAGAAAAGAGTACTGTTGGACTTGATATAGTTTTCTATAAATAGGCGTCATTTATTTCAACTACTAATCATGTTTGCCTCTTCGTTATCTGGTCATCTTTTGAATTCATCCGGTTACTAGCGTAAAATCTACTAACCAATGTCAGATCTGAAAAACAAAAGAATCAACTGTGAACTGCCTTCTAACAATGGTTTCATCAAGCCACTCCATTCCATTCGGATACATCGTCGGCATTGCTAAACTTTCAGCAAGATTACCCAAACTGGAGATTCTTTTATCACAGATGTGATGACTCATCCCTGTTAAATTAAGTTGGAAACAAACCAGCAGACGTTTGTTGACCTTAAACAGGGAAGTAATCGGGGCAGTTTTCTGTGGCTAGAGGTCACGAGCAATCGTTTGCCTACACAAGTTAGTGTGGTGTGAAGCGGAGATTTCTGACTGGTCGTCTCCCGGTGATGGACAGGGAATGACTGTTCATCGTTGATCGATCGACGAGACCTAATTTGGTTCGCATTGATCGATCCTTGAGTCATATGTGTCATATATGGATCTTTTGCAGACAAACCGACCGAATTTTCTGACTTTGAGAAGTTCCTTTAACATGGGCTATATTGGAAGTTTCTATGTGAACAAAGTCGGATTACTCAAAACATTATACCCCCTTAATCCAATTCGTGAGAGTAGATGTTGCATGGTATAGACATTTTGCATACCTGCCTCGACCCTTTGTGTAAACCACATGGTTCTAGACATGATAAAAAGGCACAGGGCAAACAATCCAGATGAGCGCAGAGAAATCCGTGTAGTAGTATCAACATCCTCTCACAGAATACACTTGCACGACATAGGTTTGAACAACCAGACCAGATTAACCTGATGATCATTTGGCATGGGATGGCTAGCATGCTGTGAAATCAGATTTCTTGGGTCGGTCTACGTCATTTGAGCGAGTTGCGTGTGTACACCATCTCTGGTTAAGCCGTTTATCGATCCGTTTCGACCAAGTATTTGAATTAGTCTCGTATGATTTTTGTGAGTGATCAAATGATGTTCATGTGCTCCAGTTACCAGAGTCCCTTTATACTGACCCGTACAGTGAGTTTCTATGACACTACCCGATTGTAATTTTCCAGATTTGATTTTGATGCGGGTCGGGTCTTTTGTGGAACTGTTGGCTTGTAAATTGTGTCAACATCGCTCCAACTAAATTTCAAGGAAACCTGGTACAATGTCTGGCCTTTAGAGCTCGAATGGTCTGATACAAGGATCTAGTGGAGAAAGATCTAATAAATATCAACTCTGCACTCCCGATTAGTGAAAACCCGGGTTTCATCAAGAAGTATCACAGAATATCCCACACTACAATTCAAGCGTGGAATCCCTGGATGCAACGCGATCGGAAGATTTTGAAACGTCCACAAAGAATGACCACCAAAACGATCAAGGGACTGCATTCCAAGACTTATGTGGAAAGAATGGAATCATTGGGGCTGTAATTCACACAGTATCGCCGAATTCGAGGAGACTTGATTTTGGTGTATCAAATAATGCAGAACCCTGATCATCCATGTCGTTCACTGTTCGCATTCTCTCCCAACACTCACCTCAGGTGGCACTCATTCAAATTATGCTCCGGAAATGTCGACTGGAATGCTAGCGTCATTCATTTGCCCTCAGAGTGTGCACTACTTGGAATTCTCTATCGCCTCACGTTATTCTTACGCCCAAAATAATTCCCCCAAGTATAAAATGGATGAAACACTGTAACGTCCTAAATTTTGACATTCGTAGGAGTGCAGGAAACAAGGATAATTTGTGTAATTCCTCATCTTTCTGTGAATCGTAAATCGATCCATTTGTGCTATACCCTATGGGACAAGAAAAAAAACTCCTGTAAGTATTTCTAATAATAAATGAGTCGAATCACTTTCAACAGTGCCACTTTGCAACGACAGAAACAGCAGCAATCAAAATTCGGAAACTACCATGATGCGAACAGAATAAAATGACTAACGCACTCTGGTTGCCTAGGCCCCGACTGAACCTACGTGATGACATGAACTTGACCTCAACCACGCCGTGATGACCTAGCATGTCGTGATACATTTTGAGTGTAAATGTCATCAGGAATTTCCAAGACTGAGCTTGGTCCCCTTTCCTTTATTCATGTATCCATTCAGAACTTGACAGATATCGTTGTTCTTTCTTATTTGACCTCAATGAACAAATCACGTTCATTTCTAGGTTACACATAGACACACATAACTGTATTGCTTGTCTTTTGACATTCAATGAATGTATATATGCGCAAAACACCAGTTCGAATTCCATGCCAGATAACATCCTATTTCATGCCATGCCAGCTAACAGTATCAATACATTTGAGCACTGGAACCCATTCGATCGTTACTAATCCTCCTCCT